GCTGGGTCCAGCCCAGCCCCCACCGTGGCTGTCAGCTCCTGGTGGCATGGCCCGAGGCTGGCTTCAGGGCTCAGGGTGGGCTCCCGCCTGCACGTTCCTGGGCGCTCCCTCTGCTTCTCCCGGAGAGCCCCCATCTTTGAGCTGCGTGTAATTTCTCTCCGCTGCTCCTTCTGGCTGACATTTCTGAGACTTGGGCATCCGTGTGTGTGTGTGTGTGTGTGTGCATGCATGATGGACCCTGCCACCTGCAATGCAGCCATGCGTGTGCGTGCATGTATGTGTGCGATGAACCCCGTCACCTGCCGTGCATCCATGCATGTGCGTGCGTGTATTCGTGTGTGTGATGAACCCCATCACCTGTGATACGTGTGTATGTGTGTGATGAGCCCCATCACCTGCCGTGCATTCATGTGTGTGCGTCCATGCGTGTGTGTGCATGTGTGTGATGAACCCCATCACCTGCGGTGTGTCCATGCATGTGAATGTGTGTGATGAACCCCGTCACCTGCCGTGCGTCCATGCGTGTGCGTGTGTGTGTGAGTGATGAACCCCGTCACCTGCCGTGCGTCCATGCGTGTGCGTGTGCGTGTGTGTGAGTGATGTACCCCGTCAGCTGCGTGCGTCCATGCGTGTGCGTGTGTGCGTGTGTGTGTGAGTGATGAACCCCGTCACCTGCCGTGTGTCCATGCGTGTGCGTGTGTGTGTGAGTGATGAACCCCGTCAGCTGCGTGCGTCCATGTGTGTGTGTGTGAGTGATGAACCCCGTCAGCTGCGTGCGTCCGCCCAGGGCACTGGCTTACGCAGGGCCTTGCTTTCAGATGTGGACGAGTGCTCGCTGCCAGAGAAGCCGTGTCTGAGGACGCACGAGAACTGCTACAACACGCCTGGCAGCTACGTGTGCGTGTGCCCCGATGGCTTCGAGGAGACGGAAGACGCTTGTGTGCAGGCGCCCCAGCCAGCGGGGGCGGGTGAGTGCGGGGAGGTCTCCATGCAGCTGGCCCACCGCCCTCTGCCCTGGGGTCACGCCCCGCAATGAGCAGGTCTGCAGACTCCTCAGGGCTCCTGGAGGCTGGACATCACACCCGGGCTCTGCTCCCTCCGAAACCTGCAGGGGCCTTGCCTCCCAGCCCCTGGGCTGTGGTCCTGGGCTGCAGCTGTTCTGTGGCGGTGGGGGTGGGGGGTTGGATGGCACCATCTTTGGGGGCACAGTTCCTCCCAGGAGCTCTATAAAGACCTTGAAGTAGGGGGGTGAAGAAGCAGTGCCCACAGGGACGCTGGTGGAGTTTCCAGCCTGAATCCGCCGTGGCAGGGCACGGGGGAGCGCAGCACGTGGGCACACCCCCCCCACCCCACCCCCAGGCCAGGGCTCGGGCCACACCCCCGGGGCCTCTGATGGGTTTTCCAGGCGGCCTGTTTGTTTCCTGACAGAAGTCACAGAGGAAAGCCCAACACAGCCGCCCTCCCGCGAAGACCTGTGAGCAACGTCCAGCCAGAAGCCAGACCCCCTTTAAGTTATTTAGGCCGACGCCCTGGACGCACACCCTGAGCCTCACCCGAGACCCCAGGCCCCGGAGAAGCTGCCTTCAAAACGGTTGATGCTCATTGGCCCTTTAAAAAGCTGCATTTTTGGTTCTTCTTAAACAGATTTGTCTATTTTGATACCGTTCTTTGTAATAAAATGAACCACTGAAGGTCGGCCTGGAACACGTGTGGGTTTGTCTCATTGAGAAGTGGGCGCTTTGGCTGGCGTTGGCCCGTGCAGCTCCACCCGTCCTGGGAGCCGTGACCGCTGAGGCCTGCGGGGCACAGGCAGGAGCAGCCCTGCAGTCTCGGGGTCCCATGCCTCCTCCCCGGGCGCCCCCCTCTCCGGGCACCCCCCTCCCCCGGCACCCCCCTCCCTGGGTGCCCCCTCACCCTCAAGTTCAATAGAATCTTAATCGGGTGATGTCAGGGCCCAACCTGTGGGCCCCCTAAAGTGAGTGGTTGAGGGATCCAGAGAGTAGGGGCCCTCAGGCGGGGCAGCCAGCATTGGGGTCTCAGAACCTCTGAGGAAGGGCAGGCTGTGGGGTGGGGAGGCTGGCTCGTGGGGAGACCCCCCCCCAGTGTTCTCACAGGTCAGTGGGGCAGGTGGACCGCAGCCTCTGCTCCGGCCCCCAGGCTCGGACACCCGGAGTGAAGCAGTGTGGCCCACGCGGGGGCGCCTGACCCCGGGCAGCGTGCCACTGTCTCTCCCCATCTCGCGTCTCAGCTCCACGCCCTGCGTGTCTGTCTGTGTGGGGGACGCAGAGCTGCCAGCCCCAGGCTGGGGGACCCCGAGATCCTCGAGGGGCCTGGAGTCCGGTGGGCTCGGCAGGGACGGCAGGAGCTCAGGCAGGGGACCGACCGGAGCCCCTACGGCCTTCACGGCCTTCACCTCCGACACCATGGTGCCCCCAAGGGGCAGGGCTGGGCCGGCCCCCAGGGCAGAGCAGGTGGTGGGAGAGGTCGCTCCAGAGGAGTGACGGCCAAGGGTGTGCAGGGGGTGGGGGTCTGGGCTGTGGGTCCCTGGTGACCCTGGAGGGGCTGGAAGAGGGGGAGCCAGGTGAGCGCTGGGACAGGCAGAGGGTGCCGGGGGTGACGGGCCTGGTGCTGGTGCAGGCGCTGGCAGGCGGGTGGACACGGAGGCCCAGAGTGCCCTGGGGAGGAGGGTGGGACAGGCGACTCCCTGGAGGGGGGCAGGCGGGAGGGGAGGCAGGTGGCGGCCCAGGCCAGCTCGCAGGGAGGGCCAGGCCATGCTGGACAGTCTCTGGTCAGCCAACCCCCAGGCAGGCCTGGCCCAGGGAGCAGAACTGACCCCCGCCCACCCCCCAATTCCAGCTGGAACCCAGGGAATCCCTGGCCTTGGGGAAGCCACAGGACTGGACATGTGGCCACTGGGTGGCGCCGACTCCCCATGCATGGCCTGGTCACCAAGAGAGCCGCCCCCCCCCCCCATGGACACAGGTATCCCCTCCCCGCACGAGTGCCATGGGGGAGGGGGGTCCTGAGGAACTGGGCAGCGCCGGGCAGTGGAGGGGGCTGTGTCCCTGCAGCAGGCGCCGCCCCTCCTGGCCCTGTGTCTGGGCCTCTGTGGGCAGCAGCCCTGGCCTCCTGCTGGGCCACTGCCCACATGAGACCCTGCTGGGGTCCAACCCCAGCAGGTCCAGGGGTCCCCAAAGGTGTGGACGGAGTCGCGCAAACTCATTTTTTTGGTTGATTTTTCTTTGTTAAATGGCATTTAAATATATAAAATAAATATTAAAAATATAAGTCTTTGTTTTACTATGGTTGCAAACATCAAAAAATTTCTATATGTGACACGGCACCAGAGTTAAGTTAGGGTTTTACAAAATACTGACACGTCGAGCTCAAAAGGTTCGCCATCACTGGCCTACATTAAGGAACTGAGAGCTTCCTGTAAACTCAAAGTGCTAAAATCCAAAGGTTAGGGCGTTTCTTATCTCCATTCCAGGGAGTAAAGATTATGTAGCTTAAGCATGATTATTCGTAGTTAAAGAGATTAATTACCCGCTTGGCTCTTAGTGAAGGGATTTTATTCCCTCCCTAACTTCAGGGGAAAACCTCTACCTGGGGAAACAACCTTTCTCGGAGAGGTGACCTTGGTTAAAACACATAGTGCCAAGAAGGTGAGCAAACATATTAAGAACAGTATGCCATATATGCCAGGTCCCTTGAAACAGCAAGATGGACCGGCTCCCGGCAAGACCCCTCCTGGATCTGTGGGGCCTGGGAGGTCCGGCCAGCACGGCCCTTCCTGGCTCTGCTCTGGGGTCCCACGTGGGGCCCCTGGCCCTTCACTGCGCTCACCAGGCAGAGCGAGTCAGGCCGAGCTGCGCCTGCAGTTCCTAAGGGTGTCCCTTCCGCTGGGGACCCCGGGTCGGCGCCTCTTCCTCCCTCCCTCCCCCCCTTCCCCTGGGCTCTGCTCAGCTGCCCCCTCAGAGGACTGCCCTAGCCCTTCCCCAAGTTACATCCTCTGTGAGCCCCCACCCGCCCTCCGTCCTCAGCAGGGGACGCAGCTCCTTGGAGAGACCCCGGCCTCAGGCTTCTCCTCTGGATGCGGAGGGGGGACACCTGGCCTCTGGTGGGGGTGGGGTGGGGGGGGC